GATGTCAACATTTGATGAGCCGGCTTTGGGACTCTTCGAGAAAAGGTTTTGCAAATAAAAGATGAATGGTTTGTTATAATTGATTTATCTACAATCGCGTAAGCGGTGCCAAAGCCAATAAAGAAGAAAGAAGAACATACCCACACTGAATTAAAGACTGCATCTAGAACAGTGCTACTCAGTGTAAGAGAAGAGCGCAACCATGCGATAAAAGAAGAAGAGTAGAGATAGATACGCGTCACTTGTAAGACACAGCGAAGAACGGCAGTATGCTCCACAAAGAGAGGTGCTGATGCTATGGCCGCACCAGGTGAATCAGCAACTTAGAGAAAAGGAGTCTAGCCGAGTAATTTCATGAACGGCGCGCAGAGGTTGTGGCAAAAATGGACATTTCGCCTAGAAGTTTCAGAACACCATACAACTGTTCTGCTGGACATGCCGGTGAAGAGACATTCGAACGCAACTGTGTTGCGGTAAGAGACTGGAAAATGGCCAGCGACTCCTGTTCGACTATGATGGTAAACGAAGGAAAGCAAAGTAGTAACAAAAAATTTTAATCCAGACCATACGTTACCAAAGATAGTAAAAAAGCTAAGCAACATTATTCATCCAAAAACCCAAAACGCTACAATATCGGTGGATATTGGTAAAAAAAAATGTGAAGAGACGCAACTCCAATGGAAGCTTTGCATGAAAGGAATACACTCGGAGGGGTTGATTTTCCCTGCCGAGTGGCGACCGCAACTACAAAATTTAGTTTATTTTTTTATTGAAATAAAATTCCTATAACTTTTGGCTGTTGGACGCACCGGGATAAGAACACTACAAACACATATGGGACGCTAAAAATACGCTACTACGCTTATAACATTTTGTCATTCATTCCTTTTTTCGCTGTTAGGCGCCAATTCTAGATACCAAGCAGAGCCAGGTCCCTCCCTATTTGGTCTTCCCAACAGAGAAGAGGTTTACTCTTCTACTGCTTCCACCGGCGGGTACTGCATCGAACATTTTCAAAGCTTTGTTCTTATGCATATGGACCACATGACCTGGTTACTTTTCAACTGCCTACTCAGTCCGAAGTAGCACCTGTTGGCAAGAGTGATTCTGCGTTGTATTTCAAGGCTGATATTTTTATTGGTGCTGATGCTGGTCCTTTGATAGACGAAATTATCTACGATCTCGAACTTATGTATGTCAACAGTGACACTGGAGCCAAGTCGCGAATGAGATCAATTTTTGTTTGATAACAGGAGATATTTCGTTTTTTCCCCGATAATGCCAATATCATCGGCGTATGCCAGCAGCTGTATACTCTTAAATAAGATTGTACCTTCTCTACTCAGTTCATCAGGTCGTATTATTTTTTACAGCAATGAGTTAAAAAGGTCACACATTAAGGTTTACCCTGTCTGAAACCTCACTTCGTATCGAATGGCTCGGAGAGGTCCTTCCTTATTCTGACGGAGCTTAAAGTGTTGCTTAACAGACTGTAAGAAATCATTCCTGTTTGTGCCGTTATAGTTAGAAGGCTTACTGTGTGTCGTGAGAACGCTGCCAGATGGAAGAAATATAATTATATAGTGTGTCGTGAAAAGGATACCAATAGAAGTAGATAGTATCATATGGTGTGGCGTACAAGCGCTGCAAATACGATTCAAATAAGTAATATGGAGTGACGTGAAAACGTCGCCGACACGATACAAATAAATCATATGGTATGACGTGAAAACGCTGCCAATAGAGTAATATAGATAGTTTGTGTGAAAACTTAAACTAAATACTTGTGTATATGGGAGACCCATAATCTGACAAAGTGAGCGCCCAGCTATAAACTAGAGAACCGGTACCATTCATATAGTACGTAAGCAGAGTTCATCACTTTAAAAATATGTACGTACATTCGTCACTTCTAAAAACCATAACATTTTTGCTTGTTTTTATTTTAATGTGTGGTAGAAAAAGTATATTATTTGAAGGAATATTGTGTTACTGGCACACATATGGGTGATCGTGCTGCTCTCCAAAAAGAGTAAAAACTACTGTACAAATGGAGATTAATGAAGTCAGTTTTACTAAAAATAGGACAAGTTATTTAAGGGAATTTAGGGAAATGTGGGTGGACAAGCGTATAAGAATTTAATGAATATAATATAACCATTTTTTTAGTCTTAGTACTCATTGCAGTATTACAAAAGATGTATTTCAAGCGAAATATTATACTAAAAATACTGAATTAATAAGGCCAAATACTTTACATTTATTATTCCACACTCAAACTTCTTAAAGTGAAATGTGCACTTGGAATTATAAAGCTAGCAATTAGTGATAGTTAAATTTTTGTTAACTCTATTTTCGTAGACTCTTGACTTTATTTATCCCTTATGTTTCGGCATAGTGCCGTCGCTTGACCGGAGAAGTGCAAGAGGTTTCGAGCCACCAATTTTTGCTTCGCTTTCGATTTTTGATGTCATGGACTTGCGGTTCTGGAGCGCATGTAATATGGGGCAATCAGGGGGATTTAAAAAAAAAATGTCTTTCAAGGCATAAAATTGGTAGGGGTTTGAACCCATGATCTTTCGACTCGTTATATTTGGTGCTTAATCCTCCTGATTTGGCTCAAGTAAAAATATCGTTACGTAACAGGCAGGCGTGTTTATTGTCAGACTGCACTTGTATTCACCTTATGTATCGAAAGAACTATAATTAATTATACTTATATATGACTGTCTCCAATAGTGCACCATCTACAATTTCATTACGAAGCTATTTAGCAGTATTGACTTCTGGATTTCTTAATTATATTAAGAATTCTAATTTTTTAAATCGAGTAATCCGTTCAATTTTTCAATTCATTACTGTGGATATAGCTCTTATCATACATGGCATTCAGCTTCAAATTTGTATTATTTTTCTTTTACCGGTTGTCGCCTACTTTCAAAGTATAGGGCTTGGCCAAACTAAGATAATGTCAGGAGCTTAGAATTTCAAATAAAATTTATTTATCGAGCTCTCGATTGTTATTGGAGTCACATTGGGAGCTCCTTATTGAAAATTTAAGGTAGCGCGGAAAAATTTATTAAACGAGTCGTCTTGTAAGCCTAGCCCACACCACGCAGGAATTTTCAGCTGTTTGTAATGCTGACAACCATCACCATAAGCCACGTATGCTGACCGTTGGGGGAAGTGACCTTAACCTAATGTTATCTCTTGACATATGCCAGGTTAAATCGCCGAAAGGGCTACAGTCCTTGGCCGGATAAAATCCGCGTCAACTACGGTGGGTAGAATCGGCTGCCGTGAGAGTCGTAGTGGTAGTGAACGACATTCACCAGTAGTCAGTCAACACCTCCAAAGACTCCCTTACTATGAATTCGAGAGAAACACGTAATACTGGTGCAACTTAGGTCAGGATATTATAGCACGTGATACTCCTGCTTATCCCCAAAATACCCAACGTATGTTCTACATGGAATAACAGTAACCACCTCGTTACATGTCCCCTGAAAGCGACGCATCTAAACCCCTCTCCCTTTAGTCCGAATCGGCTCGTTTGCTGTTAGATGACTTTGACTGAGCTAGACTAGGGACAGGCTAGTTTGTGGGGCTAATGAACCGCTACAACAACAACAACCATGAGGGGAGGTGTTGGTTTAAGTGCTACGATATAGTCATGCTACCGGGGGAAGAGGTGAGGGAAAAGCTTCAAAATAATTAAATAATTATAAGTGTTAATAGAATGTACATAATAAATAATTTGTTAATATTTATGGAGTTTTTATTTACTCATATGATATTTTAGATAATAAGCTTTTATACAAATACGTTGCAATATACAAACAATCACTCGTTTAAAATAAATTTTTTTTTAATAAATATGTAGCGAGAAATGAGAAAAGAGTTAGAAACAAAACCACGCTCCACTGGGCAAGAGTGGTTCCGGAAGGTCTGAAATATGACCATGTGGTTTATTGGCAGAATTATAAGTTTTAATATGCGTTGCTCTTTTATTTATTACTGTTAAGCTTAATACATTCTTCGTACATACTTAACTTTTACGTTGTATTTATCACAATTTCATATTGAAGGGTGTACTTACAGTCTAATTAACATGTGTATAAGCTTATGGGTAAGCTCCATGTGTTTAATTGGAATTGATCTGGGATAATCTTACCTCCTCTTGTTGTCCTTCTTTAAAACTGGGAGAATAAGAAAGAGCTCCAAGCGATTTTGCAGCTTATCTTAAACTACGAGCCCTGACCACTATTAATTCGCACGGCTGGTGTTTTTACGCATATGAAATTTTTAGCATACAATATATGTGAAGATAATGCAGACAACACATACAAACATATATTTTTCTGAAAGGTAATTTTATTCTCTATTTGATGGAAAAAAAAATTTGTTTTTGTTTAGCGTACAACAACAACAGCATTTATTTACATACACTATTCAACGAGAATAACATTATATTTCAGAAAAATATATGTTTGTATGTGTTGTCTGCATTATCTTCACATATATTGTATGCTAAACATTGCATATGCCTAAAAACACCAGCCGTGCGATATAATAGTGGTCAGGGCTCGTATTTACGTGATTTTTAGCTGTTTCAGATGCTTGCAAACATAAAAGTTTTCGAATATATAACAATCTGAGCTGGGCACCAGCACTACTCACTTGAAAATTGCACTTATGAAAATTTTCTTGGGCGTGAACGCATACAGGGATGTGATCATACATGTATGTTGCATGATCAAGGATAAATAGCAGGAAGCAATAAATAGATACCTAGCGGTAAGAGAGTGGTAGCAAACTTAGGATGCTTAAAAAGTATGAGATATTCGATGAGCTGACTTTTGTTTTAAATAATGGTTGAATGAAGTTCTGCGTTAGTTTGATTAAATCAACAGCGATCAAAATTATTTATTAAATGCAACTATGTATTGGCACATACAACTATAGAACACTTGTTACAACACTTTGTTAAGAACTCTTACCATCTTCCATTAATATTACCGCACCATTATCAGCATTTGTGTTAGGCATCGAATGTGGCATCAGATTAAATTCATCTTCCATTAAAAATGGCGGGTTCCACCGTGGTCGCGCAGTAGCTCGATGGGGCATATTTGCAGTACCAGTGATCGGAGATGAATATAAACTTAAACTAGTTGGACTTAGAACGCCGGAAATGGTTGAAATTGAACTAGTATACCCAAGTAACTAATAGACAAATATATAAGTAATTTTTATTAGGTTCTAATGAATGCATAAAAATATATATAATCGTATTATATTTAATTCACAATATATGTGAATATACGCAAGTAGCAATTAATTTATACTCTTTTATTTGTTTGTATGTATATGTATAATAATTATTGTATATAATTTGAATAAGAACAGAAACCTGGTTCTTCTTCACCTTTCTTTAATACAAACAAGAAATTTTTTTCTTAGTTTTTATGTAATTTTTTTATAAATAGAGAAAAGATGTAACCGTGTGGTCTTCATTACACAATCTAAAAGTTTGAGCTTTTTTGTGTGAGAAGCTGTAAACAACACGCGAGTAGTCTTGAATATCTTTGAGGAGACACGCAACACATCGCGCTTAATGGTGTACTAGTGTAGTAGAATGGCTGCTTGTGGGAAAACTGTCCGCAATTTAAATATGTATTCACTAAATTTTATGATGACCACTGCTGTCATACAGAGGAGCGCGAGTTCTCAACAGCCTCCAACCCGTGGGCTCAACTGACCTTGCTCTAGTTATTTGGCTTCAACTGCCACTAATCTACTCTATGGATAAATTAAATTTTTTTCCATAACCGATAAACTCAGTCGCACGTAAACAAAATAAAGATGCACGCTCTTTCGAAGATTGCGGCAGTCTGCTCCGTTGCGTACCTACGAGCCAGGCCGCAAGCCTGGCGCCGGCTTACAATTATTTTGCGCCGCCCCATTCCCCAAAGAGAACGGGTTGTTTTGCGCATGCCACTATGACCCACCTAATACACCGGGATAATTTTCCCCTCGCCGAATAAAGCGAAAGGCGACACCTCTTTCCTCAATATATGTTAATGGAGGAACTGTTTTTTAGGAACACCTTCTTTTAGAGACTTATACCACTGGGAAGAAACACACCGAATAAAACCGTACCATAAATTCATGGCCTTAATTTGTACAAAGATTTGACGATAGATGTCACTGCCAACTTGCAGTGAATGGAGAATAAGGCATAAAAAAGGAAATGAAAAAAACAAACATACACGTAGAAAAAGTTTTTGTACGCGAAAACTCCGCCTCTTCCACAACGAAAAGGTAGAAATCTTCCTTTGGTAAGGGAACCGAAATCTGCTATCGTACCCTATTAGTCCGTATATAGCCTCAACTCGCTAACTTTCCAAGTCCTTATGTCTTTGCCTAAGTCATCTGCCAGTGTATATGTCCACGGTGGCACTCTCTTGCGAACAATAAATGGCCCTACATATTTTGGAGCTAACTTCGCTGTATTATACAAGGTACTTCATCTTTTAAGTCGGTATGTATACGCTGAATAACTTCCACATTTGTCAACCCAGCGATTGCATCAGATATGTTTTGGAAACGTCAATTCAGTACGTGCTGCACTGAAATAGTGATACTTTACATTAAAAACAGTCGTTCCATTGTGCCTACTCACTGTGCATATCGGAAAAAATATCACGGCAAAAAGGCACAATCTGACAATACTATTCATCGTTTCGTGATTTAACCTCGCCGGACTTCTTTTTGTGGGGTTATCTGAAAAACAATGTTGACGCCAACCAGCCGAAAACTATTGATGAGCTGTAGGCAAGCAATCGTGCTGAAATTGAGGCTATAACAACCGAGATGCTCGGAAAGGTAATTACAAACGCAGAAAAAACGAGTAATTTTGCGATTGCTAATTAAAGTTAGCCACTTTATTGATATTTTATTCAAAAACTAGTTCAAAAAAATTGTAAAGAACCAAACTGAATAAAAAATACATCGCTTATGGAAATCGGTTGATTTTTCTCAAAGTTATTCAATGTTTACATATCGACATAAAAAATGGAGCACCCGGTACATCTTGACGCCTGAGATTTTAATGCCTTCAAGCTTTTCCTGCCTGCCTAACCTAGTTCTGACGAGTGTCATAATCTCTTCGAGCCTCTTAGCCCGCTCCTGACAATTTAGCTTCTTCTGATCTTCTAAACCTTCTATAAAGTTTCTAGTGGCTTCTAACGCCGTCTCCCTACCGAAATAGCCAAAGTATGGCGTAGCTCCAAACACCTCGAGCTGCGCTCTCTTAATGCAGCATGCTACCTTCGCTAACTGTAGGTTCCATGTTCTCTGGTTCTTTGATATATAAGCCCTAAGTATTGTCTTGCCAATCTGAACAATCGTCTTTGTTGGGTTAGCCTGTGGGTTAAGTTTGCGGTGTACCGGAGTGCTGCAGAGACCCCGAAGCTGTCGACTCCTAAATTAGGGTTCTTTGTCACACACAACTGACCAAGAACTCAAAAAAAAAAAGAAAAACATTGCGACTTGGCCCTCTTTATCACACCCCCAGGTGGCCGCGAATTTTCATGTTTAACCTGCTGAAACGTTTTGCATGCCCTGACATATTTTGCAATATCCGACTTCATTCTTGGCCAGTAGAAATGTTGTGGAACACAAGCAAAAGCCTTTCTCACACCAATTTTTATCGTCGCGCCCTATTACTCTGTTCCACGCTGGAGAATCACCATACCCAGAAGTAAATATCAATCTAACAAACTTGTTAAAATTGCCACCTCCAAATATGGCATTTTTTTAAACTAAAGAAGTACTCTACCTGGTTTGTGAACGCTGTTAAGTAAGGTTGCCGACACATATGGAAGAAGGTATTTATCCTTATCGGTAAATTTATTCAAATCCCTATAGTCTTCGCCCAACATATATGTACCGTCCACCTTTCTGATCAAAACTACTTGAGACGAACATGGACTATGAGATTTTTCTATCAGCCCTTTTTCGAGCACATCCTTAATCCTCTCATTTACAGCCGCTACCTCTACAGCAGCCGAGACATAAGCCAGGTCCGGCTCTAACAAACCTTTGGCCTTATAACTTGGGGGAGGAAAAAGGCATCCTCCGACGACCTCTTTGCCTCTAGTTGCCTACCCAAAACAACTAGTCCCGTATTCAACCCTATCGTCCCAACTGGGTCTAGTAGAACTGATGAAGATTCGCACTAATGAATCCTAACATCCTTCTCTCGTATAAAGGCTAGTGAAGCATACCAAACGTGACCTTGATAGCCGATACATAAACATCTATGGACTCATTTGCTCCGTGCGTCCTTCTCCTAATCTCGCCTTGAAAGAGATCGTCATGGTTCGTGTGCTAAAACTGCAACTTCAACTCTCTCCCAGCTACCTAACGACTTATTGACAGACCTAAACCATAGTAGAGCCTTTCCCTACAACAAACCGCACCTCGGAAGAGCTGGTCTAGGGTCACACCGCGTGCCTCACTCAACTCCTAAATGCGTTCTAAAAATGCGAAAAGGGACATTCCCAAATCAAACAAAAGCTATTGAAACTAAACAAAAAACAAGCTTTTAAAGAATATTAAACATAACGCTTATGATATAAGTATTTTAGACTCAGTTGTATCAACTTTTACTTGATGATTTGTAAATCGATATCATATTATTTCTTGTTTATTATTCGTTCCATTTTATCTAATGCTTCGTTGTTACATGGGGTCTTACCAGTCGGCAAGGAGCAATCAAGTTCTTCAATCTGAATACCGTCTATAGATCTTCATCGGTTAAGTGCTACATATAAATTTTGTGCAGCATCAACTAGTTGGTATTGTGCTTTAATTGTGATATACAATAGTAGTTTCTTTATCCTCAAAAGTCTGGAGAACTTTATCATTTTCATTTTCGCAACTTGGTCATTTGACGGATAAATTCTAAACTTTCAAAGTGCTTAGACGTTAATTCTCCAACTTTCGGAGCCTTAAACACATCTATAAATGTCTTGTATCCTTGTTGGCGCATTTTTTTTTTTGAGTTCAAACAGGCGGAACTACCGCCAGAAACATGTAGCGAGTTCCATATGTTCTAACTGCATTAGATCACCAAAAAATTTAACATTTAAACCTCTCAGTTGACGCAAGCGAGGTTCGATCATGCATTTAATCTCTGAACAAAAAGTCGACGTTTCGCCATACCATAATTACCAGTCAGAAGTGGCATGCTAACAATTATTCCATGCTTTTGTACTGGTAGCATTAGCAGACGGTGTAGTGTAGATCCACCGAACAGCCGTGCTGCGACTTCGGTAAGTGCACCAACTTTCCGCTTTAAATTCTTTAATGAGGGTTATTTGGAGGGCTAGGGGAAATTTTAGCTCATTGACTGGAAAATGGGTTACCGACACTACCTATTACCGTTCAAGATAACTATTTTTGGAGTGGCAACATCACATAAAATTGATGAAGTCTCTTATCGCATGTCGAATTACAGTTGAAAATCATTTTTTTTTGCCGGCGACGGGATTTGAACCGAAGACTGACGTCACAGGAGACGCGAACCTTAGACTGCTCTGCCAACGAACGCACTGGAAGGAGTAGAGCTGCTGCTCTGTCAATAGACTTTCACTTTACCTTTACTCACCTTCAGTGCCAAGTAGAGTTAAAAACTGACAGACAGACAAGTGAAGCTAATATTGCAATTTTCGGTAAAATAATAATATAGCTATGACGAGATCTCAAAGTTAAATATTTAAAATGTGAATCGTTGCATACTTCGTGTCGTTGCAATTAACAAACCACTCCAAGAAACAAGGTGATATGTAGAGTATACTCAGTAGTTCAATGGAACTACATGTAGGTGTCGCCAAGTAAAAATGAATTAGTCCAAAGAAGAGTTACAAGCGGACAGACAGACAAGTGAAGCTAATAAAATCGTATTAATTAAAAACATTCAAGTTGACATACCGTCTTAATCCAGCACGTTACGGTGTCTCAAGACCCATGTTCTGAACTGTCAACTTTAAAACATTGAATTTTTTGACACAAAGTAATTCAAATGATTTAGAGCGTGATTTGAATCAGTCTAAAAAACGAACTGATAAAAAAATTATTGGTGAGTATAATGTCATATACACTTTGGGGTGTAATATATCATTAAAAATACACACGAATATCCTGGTTTTTTCTTGGATTTCGTTCCGGTAAGTTAGGGTGCTGCGAGTGACAGGCATGGTGAGAGGGTCCTTCAAGACATTTTTTTTAATGGAAAGGCGTACAAAAGTGGAAAGAAAATGAAGTACAGGAATAATAGCAGCTAATTCATTTAGGTTTAGAAAGGAACTCTGAAAATCGAAATATTCCTAAGTATTTATTGTATGTTAAGCAGTAAAGGTTTTCTAGGTATAGATTTGATATAAAATTATATGTGAAAAAGTTTCAATTTTATTTAACTGTGTAATTATTGTTAGCAAAAAATATCGCTGAGAAAATAGTCATGATTTTTTGAGTGTTTTTTTTCGCATAGTACATACTTTAATACCATAAAACCGCAATTTCTAACTGGTCATAGGATATTCGTAGATCCTTGGTGTGTAAGTTACAGCGAGATAAGTTAATCTATACCGCCAAGAGTCTGAAGTCTTGGATTGTGAGTCAAAATGTGGAGTTGCTAATTCAAATGGTACAGAAATGTGTTGCGATGGTTAGTACACAATTTTTGCGAGTCCGGCCAGTAATATTCAACTGCAGCAGAGCTCATTGAAGGATATTTAACGAAATTACGAGTACAACATAATTCCGTTAATACTCATTTAATCTGTGTTTTCACTCCTCAATGGTTAGTAACAAAAAATTTCTTTTAAAAAGCTTCATTCGATTTTTCGACATTAAGCTGGGTATGCTAAACGGTTTCGGGCATTATAAGAAAAAGTATAACAAGTTTTACGTTACTTTTCTAAACTTTGGTCAATTTTCGGGGTTTAACAAAGTTATGATAAGGTTGATAGGCAATAAAACTTTTTGGTAACTTTTTGTTTTATTTATTTATGTGCTGTAGGTTTTGTACAATAGTCTTAAAAAGAATGCATATTTTCACACTTTTGTTACTTTTTTACTTTTTTCACTAATTTTATTATGTCAAACACATTAATTTTAGCCAATTTATATAGGATAGGAAACATAATCAAATAAACAATCACTAAATTCTCAAAGTGTTATTTGTTTTCATTATTAAAAAAATATAAAATATTTAAATAACGCACATATTTTGATCTTGACATGTTGTGCGATTTTATTTGGGACTTTAGACACAAGACAAACAGCAAATGCTGAAATTAAAATTATGTATTTTATACGTATACACTCACTGAATTTCAACTGTAAAATACGAAGAAAATATGTGCAAAAGAAAAGCAGCATAACCCAGCAAGGTGATGTGTTTGTTACCTTAACTCTGTTTTCATATAATTTTTCTATCAATAAAGAATACTGTGCACGACGAAGCCGGTGTCAGTCGGGCCCAATATTCTTTTTTTAAGAGCGGGCAAAGGTCACCAAATTATAAAAACTTTCCCCTCACTCGTGATATCAACTTTAATGGAGTGGTTTAAAAAGATATTAGCATAAATATAAATGATCGCTGGGTTACATATTCACTTTCAAGTTATAACATAAATACATAAACAAGGCGGTATGACTTTTAACATTTTTGTAAATTTTTTAAAATTAATGAGTAGTTTTTCGTCCTTTTGTATTTTAAGCATATATAAGTATATTACTTTTAATTTTGAATCCATATGACAATTTCTTACATGTCGAGCCTACTTTCTTCCTTTAAAATTGATTGGTATTTAAAAGAAAACTTTACCAAACAAATTCTAGCACAATATATTCAATATACATATTTGAACAGTATAAAAATTAACAGTAGAAAATTCGCGATGTGAATATATACTCGTACAATAAATTAATGGCATACTTACTGGAGTTGTTTGTGTATGAAAGTGATTAAAATACTCTCGGCTGGTAGCAGCAGAGTACGACTGCGCCGTAATACGACCAATTGAGGAAGATTTTGCATTGCGCCCAACATCAATATGCCCTTGGGGACTTAGCGAAGCAGGCGGCGAACATGCTGCCGAAATATCAGTTGAACTACTAGTACTTTTATTGCCACCGCTTGCGGTAGAGGTGTTAATTTGCATATTAGAATTTACAACAACTGTGCCGGCATCAATTGTACTTGAAGTCGTTGTTGCAATCCTGCTGTCACCACTAACTATCCTGGAAGGATTTGGGCTCTGATTATTATGATTTGATTCGCCATGCTTCACGTCGGTAAGTTGAGAATGCATTCCCGTGTGGGACTGAGTGTGATGCTGAAGACGTTGCTGATGACGTCCTGATACTTTGACTGATAGTTGACTTGAATTTGGAGGTGTTACGGATGAAGGCGGATGCTCAACCATCATTAAATCACCTGTTGACCTAATTATTGCCACTGGGCGTGCCATTGGCGGCAAAGGTGGCGGAGGTAACATTGTACTATATTGTTGAAAATGAGAGGGCGTGTGAACGGATGAGACAGCTGAAGAGGACAACTTTGGATTTCGATTAATTGGAGGCGCTATCGTATCAGTAGCAATCGTTTGTAACTGAAAGTGGGTTTGATTGTGATGTGGTGCATGATGAACATCATTTAATCCATCGCTTTCTTGACAAACATAAGTTACAAGCTCAGAAATATCGTGGCCATCCACAATCTCAGGAGAATATTTTGAAATTGCGGCAGTTGTAGTAGCTGCCGCCGCAGCTACTGTAATTTGTGATGTATGTAAATTTTGCTGATGATCTTCATGCTGAGATTGTTGCGTTTGCTGATGACTATTGGGTTGAGTATTATTATCGTTGGAGTCCGATGGAGCGGAAGGACTATTACGCAGCTGGTAGTACATTGCCGCAGGGCTTGAATTTGTAACCACGGCAGATGTTACATTATGTTGGATCAGTACTTAAAGTTTTTGTCCGGAAAAATTGAAAAAGTTAGAAATTAGCAGTTATGATATTATGTTAACATAAAGTTAAAATATAATGTCTTAATATATTTGAATAAGTTTTGATAAATTCAGTAAAAACATTTTTCAGTGCCTTTTCAGAACAGATTATAAGCTCACTGTCATGGTAGATAAAACTGGAGAAGGTGGAAATATTCGTTATGTTCAAATTTCGCGAGTTACACATTTTTACTTTCGCTTTCTTCCTGCTCTGTTGATGTTTAAGTATGGATCATGACACGCCCAACTTCCCCAGCATACTTTTAGGCATTAGTTTTGCTTCCTGTCTTATGGGGTACTTATGCATATATGCACGCAAGTGTGAACATATGAGCATACGTTTGTATGCTTATATACATAAGGGCAATTCTCAGATGAACAGCGAAGCAATAAACTTAAAGTGTATATTAGATGCTAAACCGTTGGTAAGACGGTCGACAGCTTGCATGTTTGCTTAATTAGACCCTTAACAACACCAGTTTCCAAATGGTGTAAGCTTGAAATACGGAAAAACTAGAGCAACCCTTCGCTCCACAAATTTTGAAGAGGCAAAGAGCTCAATAATGTTCGAATCACAGAGAGGTTTCTGTTGATTTTGGTATCATTTCGCGATGCAATTCATCAGAAACGCCGACTTTTTCCTCTTCCGAAAACTGAAGACACCGATGAAAGGAAAGCGTTTTGCTACGATTGAGGAGATAAAAGAAAAATCGTAACCGGAAAACAGTCCCGAAAGCGACGGAGTGGTATTACTGGACAGGGATGTTCAGGGACATTAAAAATATAAGCCGAGCCAACAACTAGCCACGGGTAAAATGTTAACCTTACTGCAGAATAACCCTTGGCGACAGTTAGCGCAGATTTTGTTAGCCCACGCCCGAAAATTATGATCATCGACTACCGTTTACCGGAATAGAACATAAGAATTGGGGTGAAAGTATACCGGAAATGACTTTCGCTTTAAATACGAGCTCCTGCGAGGTACTTGGATTCAGTCCTGAATTTTTAGTACAAAGTCGAGATACCGAAAAAAATCGAATACCGAAAGCACTCTACGACTTCTGGCATAGATTACCACAACTCCGACAGACAATGCAACAGGGATATATTTAATATGTTACGAAGAAACCAACGAAATGCATCAACTGAACAAGCTCGATACTACGTCGTCGTCGACGAAAGTTGCACCCAGAGATAGGAGACTGAGTCCCTGTGAAAGGGCATCATTTATCGAACGAAAACTTCGTAGCTAAGCAAGCAGTTTCCAAATAGGAGAGCATCTGTCATAGAGGAGGGCATCTGCCAAATAGGGGAGCAATCCCCAAATAAGTAACGACCAATCTCAAACTAAAGAAATAAAAGAAAAAGCCGAAGAACACGAAAAGAAGAAGAAGCTTAAGAATACAGCAGAAGAAGAAGAACCCGAGGAACCAGAGAAAAGAATTTTACTTCAGAGGAAGACGAAGAAACCTTAGAACCAGAGGAGAAGAAGAAGCCGAAGAAAACCGAAGAAAAAGCGAAAGAAACAAAGAAGAAGAAGAAACCGCAGGAACAAAGAAGAAGAAGAAGCCTGTGAAACAAAGAAGAAGAATAACGAGCCGAAGGAAACAGAAGAAAAAATGCGAAACGAAGAAACAAAGAGTCGAAGAAAAGCTGAAAAAGGACCAGAGGTCTAGAAGCAAGAAAGTTAGAGAAAAACAGAAGAAGAAACAAAAGCCATTAAAATTGAAGAAGGATGTAAACAGAAGTCCAATAATATTGAGTGTATGCATTAGTTTGTGCGTTTTTCTGTGAGAGGGCTCTGCTAGTATTATTTCGCGTCGTGTTCATCTAATGACATTTGGCGTCGTTTTAAGTAGATGTCATTTGTTTAAGTGTGAACAACAATATGTTTCATTCATTTGAAAATGCCGAAATTTGTTTTGTTTATTACTTTAACATGAAGAAAATGGCTACCGAAACCCATCGTATTTTACCGGACGTTTATAGTGACTTTAGCCAAACGAACGTGCCAAAATTTCAAGGCGAAGAATTGGAGACATTGCTCGACGCAGATACATGCCAGGCGCAAGAAGAACATGTAACAGTATTAGAAGTTGCTCAAACAACCGTTGCCAGACGATTAAAATCATTAGGACTCATCCAGAAGCTTGGAAATCGGGTGCCTTATGAATTAAAGTCAAGAGACGGCGAACGTCGATACTGCATGTCGGAAATGTTGCTTCAACGCCACCAATGGAAGTAATTTTTGCATCGGATTGCCACTGGCGATGAAAACTCAAAGCGCAAGAGATCGTATGTGAAGCCCGGCCAACCATCGACATCCACGGCAAAGCCGAATATCCCTTGTGTGTGGGACCACAAAGATGTGCTCTATTATGAGTTATTGAAATCGTCATCGTGGAAAAACGACCAGAATATGCGATCAGACACGAATCAATCATTTTTCATCATGACAACGCTCGGCCAGATGTTGCAAGGCCAGTTAAAAACTATTTGGAAAGCCGTAGGTGGGAAGCTCTATCTCACCCGGCTTATAACCCAGATAGAGCACCTTCCGATTACCACTTGTGCAGATCAATGCAGAATGCCTTCACCGGAGTGCGCTTCATTTCAGAACAGGGTATCAGAAATTGGCTCTATTCTCTCTTGAACTCCAAGCCGGAGAAGTTCTTTAGGATGGCATCCACAAACTGCCAGAAAGATGGGCAAACATCATAGCTTCCGATGGACAATACTTTTAACATTAAATGTATAACAATTTTTCACAATAAAGTCTTAATTTTCGCAAAAAAAAAACGCATGAATTAATGCACACACCCAATAATAATAATAATATCAATTACAATAAAAATAATACAAAAAATATTAGTAAAAAAATTATATAAAACTATTATATCAATAAACATAATTATATATAATTGGCGCTTTGTAACCGCTGAAGCGATTTTACGCCGAGCTTCTCCTCCAATTTTTGGTTTTGCGTCTTGATGATTTTCTAGCAATTGGAGGGACCTGCAGTAAATACTAAGCTGTTTCCGAATGGCCGTTTGTTTTTTGATTTTTTTTAGGCCAGAAATACACTCGGAGGGGTTGACATTCACGTAATTAGAAAATTTAACTTAGTTTTCAATTTGAATTGATTTTCGATAACTTTTGCATGTTGCTGGCACCGGATGCAAACGAGATACAGGGTCCTCGACACCGATGTGATCTCGTCCAATGAAGAAGAAGACGTAAAAAGGAGGGAGATTGATATAACCGAAGAAGAGAGCCAGGGCCTGGGCGGCGGGTACCGAATAAACTCATGACGTCACGATGACCATGAGGATCTTCGCCGACGCTCGCACATATACGACCACCACAACAACAACAAGCGATCGAAAATATTACGGGGACCCACGAAGAGGACAACAGCTTCGACGAGGAGGCTGCGCTCACCCTATTAATGGAGGAAGGCCGCGGATTTAAAAGTAGCGGGGGGAAATTGCCGAGAATGAGAAATGGCTGCGACAAGTAGAAGAGTCGACAACAATACCTCCTGGCGAAATTTTACGAACAACCTGATACCGACTGAGCTAACAGCAAAAATCCACGAAATAATGATGAAAGAAATATAATATGTTTCTTATTATTTCTGATTATTTGTTTTTTCAAACATTAATATTTATTTACTAAATCTGCTTAGCGTTGCTCCTTAGAAGGCTGCTTTGTTTCAGGCGGGTTTCACTTGTTGTATGGACCAAGGTGTTAGCCAAAGGGTTCGGATTCTTACGCAGTTTTGTCAAGTATTTTTTGACTGCGATCTTCTTTCAATCTCTTTCTTGATGGCAGGTATGATTAGATTTCTATGGATCTTTTTATTACGCATGTACCATGGCGTGCTCGATATTACTCTTAACATTCTCGATTGGAGCATATAATATGAATTTTAAATATTTAAACATTAACAGGCTAATTCTCACTGTTACGGGTAAAGTAAATTATGTTACTGAACTGGGTTTTTCGTCTATGTCAAATTAAGTTTGCCAGTTGCTAAAGAATAAGAATATTCATATATATATTGCATTTTATTAGTTGTTGCGAAGCAAATTTTCACGGGTTTTACTTTGACAATCAAATTTGATATATAGTGCAGTGATCGTGAAACAGAAGGTGGGTTCATTGCAGTTGGACAATTGCTCGCAACACATTTCTGATACGACCCGTTGGAAAAGATATATGTTATTGAGAGTAACCTCTAATAAAACAGCAATGATGTCTTCTGTCTAGTTAAAAATTTTGATTTCAAAATGACTTATGAAAATGAATATTTACTCCCCTGCCATATGGTGCCAATTCATTTATAATCTCTAAAAAAATTGTTTTGTTCAGGCGAAAATACTGAATGACAAAAGAAAATGGCCATTTTTATGTTGCGTAACGCAAAACTATCCACTTGCTGGAGAATTTAGTATAAAAAGTCAGCTTTAGCAGTGAGTGAGTGTGTCGTGAAAACGATACCAATAGATGTTGAGAGAAGTATACGGTACGCTGCCAAAAGAAATGTTTAAAGTATATGGTAGGACGTGAAAACGCTGCCAATACGATACGAATAAGGTATTTGGTGTGAAGTGAAAACGCTACCAATACGATATGATTAAGTCATAAGATGTGTCGTGAAAACGTTACCAATATATAAATTAATAAATATAGCTACCAATACGATATGATTAAGTTTTAAGATGTGTCGTGAAAACTTTACCAATATATAATTTAATAAATATGACTCCTGTTATCCATAACTTCTCTTTTGGAATCAAATTTATAGGTTAAATCCATAATCCGGCAGAGTGATAGCCCAGCTATAGACCGGAGAACCGGTTCGTTACAATACAGATATAGATGTAACATTTGACTGGTTGCCTGTTAAGTTCTTCATTCATGTAAAGAGTTGACCATAATAGTCAGAACTTGT